ATGTAGAGAGAGAGAGAGAGAGAGAGAGAGAGAGAGAGAGAGAGACTAATAATAGTATGTCATGCATCGATAGCAGCAACAACTTTTCCAGGTTCTGCAGTCATTTGAACAAAATTATAGACATTCAGCACATTCCATTAAAAAAAAAGAAAAGAACAATATCCAGACAACAGCAAAGTTCTGTTGCTGTTGTGGTACCTGGCACCATTTTTTCTATTAGCCTCTTAATCATCATCTGGAAAGAGAACATTCTAGAGTAATAGCATTAAATGTAGCTCTGATAAAGCATGGTCCCTACTATGTATCATAAAGCAGGTACTAGATATTTTACATTCATAGAGGTACACAGGATCCTAATGAGATAATTAATAATGTGAAATAGGACGTAAAGGGCTAAAGGTGTAAGGAAAGTGGGGAGGGTGGGGGAAAGGTAATAAGGGAGAGGAAAAAAATATGAGAAACTGAAATAATGGAAATAAAGTGTTTGTAAATGGGGAGGGGAGGGGGTGTGAAGGGAGGGCAGGGATAAGGGGAAAATGAGAATCAAGATCTATTATGTAAAGGTACAGAATTCCAGTGATGAATGTAATTGTATTGTATACCTAGATTGTACCAATAACCTCAATAAAAAGAAAAAAAAAGAAACTACATATATACATATGTATAAACTTATTCTTAATTTCTTGATTTATTAGTAGACAATGACTGCAGGAAACATGTTACCATGAATCTTGTATGTTGCAGTGCACATTGGTGTCCAGCCATTATGCTTGGAAAACTAACTTTGGCTGAATGGAGTGTGCGTTATGATTGATCCTTAGATTAGTTATCGTGTACTAAGGTTATTTCTGCTACCTGGAGCAAATGGGCAGTTTTCAACATGCGTACTAAGCCTTTGCAACTTTTACCTTTGCTGTGTTACAGAAACTCTCGAAACTCTCATCAGACAGGCAGAAAATTACACCAGTATACTTTTCTGCAACGCCTACAGGAACATGGCCTTAGAAGCTGCTGCTTCCGTTCAAGAGTTCTTCACTGATGTGGGACTCTATTTATTTGGGGCAGATGTCAATCCCGAAGAATTTGTGAACAGATTTTTTGACAGTCTTTTTCCTCTGGTCTACAACCATCTCATTGATCCTGGTGTGACCGACAGTTCCCCGGAATACTCAGAATGCGTCCGCATGGCTCGGAAGGATACTAGTCCATTTGGCAATATTCCCCAAAGAGTAAGGGCGCAGATGGGGAGATCGCTGCTGCCCAGCCGCACGTTTCTGCAGGCTCTCAATCTGGGCATTGAAGTCATCAACACCACAGACCATCTCCACTTCTCTAAAGAGTGCGGCAGAGCCCTCCTGAGGATGCAGTACTGCCCGTATTGCCAGGGCCTGACTCTCAGTCAGCCCTGTATGGGATACTGCCTTAATGTTGCCAGGGGATGCCTGGCACACGTGGCAGAGCTTAATCCACATTGGCACGCATATATCCGGTCCTTGGAAGAGCTGTCAAATGCCATGCATGGGACTTACGACGTTGAACACGTGCTCTTGAACTTTCACTTGCTGGTTAATGATGCCGTGTTCCAGGCCCACAGCAATGGACACAAGATACTGGAACAGGTAAGCAGCCACCACATACTTCCTGCTGGATTTCTTAGAATTAAACATTAGCCATGACCTTCATAAACTTAATGAGCTATCATTATGGGTTACCACATCGTTAGGGACTCTAAAATTATGGCTTCCCAACAGGTTTACACCTTAGGAAAAAGTAGGGGAACGCATGAGTTGCCATGTTTGATTCAAGATATTCTATTTTACAAATGTTATATCCAAATTTTGATCTGCTAAAATACCTCTATCTCCTCTAGTAGAATTCTTCTCAGAGTTTTCAGCGAGGCAACAAAAGCTCAAGTGTAAAATTTAAGTGAAATAAATCAGACATGTATTGCTTCTTGTGTGAGAAACCCAAACTATAAACAAAGAGCAAAATGGAGAATAGATATTAGAACGTGGAAGAACTTGTTCAAATGGGAAGGGAAATAAAATGGGGGAGACGGGAGGCAAGAAAGGGAAAAGAGATTTAAAGAGTTGAAGGGAAAACATTGAAATAAAGTTTTTGTAAGCGGGGAAGGGAAGAAAGGTTGGAGAAAGAGGAAGAGGACAAAAAGAAAGAATCAAGGTGTGTTATGTACATGTACAAATCCCCTGTGATGAATGTGATCATTATATACTGCAAAATACTAATAAATTTTAAAATATCAACAATAAATATTTGAGTCTAAAACCAGTGATAATTACATGAAATCACTCAAATCTTTTACTTTCTATGAACTCTGATATTGAAAAAAGGAAATAGTAACACACAACTTGCAAAGTATTTGTTTTTGGAGGAAGATAAACATTATGTATGCAGACTGTCTAGTATGGTGGCAGTACTCAGAAAGGTGAATGGCTATTAAAGTTTCAAATGTATGCAGCTTTGAAATAGAAAATGCCATTGTATTTTCATGAAGTAACGACACAATATGTTGGTGTTCAAGATATTTCTTCACAGTCTCCAGAATTTTTCAAATCAATGGTGTGATGCCTTTTTAGTCTACTTTTTTTGGGGGGGTACTGGGCATTGAACTCGGGTCCTTGCACTTGTGAGTCAGGCACTGGAACCACTGAGCTAAACCCCCAGCGGTGCCTTTTTAAAATGTGACAGAAGCACGATCATGCTGTTTCCTTTCTAGTAGACAGAAACAGAATCATCAAATCAAGGAATGTGAGAATTTTTTAATCCCACTTTCTGTAGAGCCATTTAAAAAATATTCAGTGTCCCATAATAATAATTCTCACTTCTCATACAGTAAAGTAGGACACACTCCTGGTGGTCCTCCAGAAATACAATTATATTCCCTGATACCAACTTAGTACATCTTCCTACCCTGACACTGATTTACTGAGTTAATAAATATTTTCATTATGAGCGCTATATGTCAGATCTTTTCACTTCTGATAGAAATTGGAACTGAAAAGCTTTGTGTTTAACTACCTCGTTTCCTGCAAGTCTTTTCAGATCCTATATGCTATTATGCAAGTTTGATATTGGCCTTCTAAGTAGGCGCAGTAGTGTGGTACTGGAGTGTGGCCTGGTTTTCAATACCTATTTTCAGTTCCATGCAGCTGGGTGTTGCTACACAATGAGAAGCTTCCTACCTTAGTTCGGTAGCCCTGGGTTTCCCTGTCTTCTTCCATTCCTTTGTGAAAATCAGGCATGAGCCAGAAGGGAAATAATAAAATAACTCAAAATGGAGGTATGAAAATTACTGAGGTTTCTAGTATTTCATGGTTCCAAGGAATAAGCATGCAGAATCAGGAAATAAAATATCTATGTAATGACATCACATATGTATCTCCAAAGAAGAAAATAGGGCCAAGAAATCTGTGGGCTACCCCAGACTTGATCATTTTGGTGCATGCCTTTTAAGATCTTGAGCAAGAACTTTCTAATGTATGTAAGTAAACAGATTTTCAATGTCCTTTTTGTTTTTATTAGTTTGGAGGCCTGGAGACCATTTTTATATCTGTACAATCTGTTCACATAGACAGTAATCTGTTTTTCCTATTTCAAATGCTAAAATAACACAGGACTGTAGTGGCAGGCGTGTTTTCAAATTTTGTTAATTTCTTAGTATCTTTGGAAAGCTGCTAAAACTGCTGGAGCCTGTTTTGCCTGAAAAAAGTTGGAGTTATGGTTTAAGTCGGGGGAGATACCATCATCTCTGATATTAGAAGACACTGGATACCTAAGAACTGTCTTGTTTTCTTTCTTATACCAAGGCCAGCCCTGAGCAGACAACCATGAAAGAGGTTACTTTGATATCTCATTGTGTTAGAATTTAGTAGGTATTTTATTAATACGTTTTACTCAGGACTGATATCATTTGGTGAATTATCAAAGAACACTGTTTTTTAAGCACATAGTTTGATTTCATATAATATATAGTCCTATGACTATTTTGAGAAATATCTATTATAACTAATAAATTGTAGATTATTTCCTAAATAAAACAACTGAGATATTCATTTTTACTTATGGGGAAATAAAAAGGAGAAAACTGACTTTATATTCTTTGAAAATTGACTCATTAATATTTATTTCTGCCAGCTTCAAAGTGATTTACAAGCTGTTTATCAAGCTTTGATGACCAGTTTACATATTGATAAATTTAAGAAATTCAAAGTAAATTACTGGATAGCCAGAAAATAATGACTTTCACACATTTCCTAAGCAATCAGTGAGATTAACTATTTCCAAGCTTGCTCCTCAGTAAATACATATTTCCCCTTTAAGAAATCCATACAGATACCTTTTCATCATAGTTCTCTTGGACGAATTTCTTTTTTTAATTAAAGCTTGCAAAGATACATGACAACAAGAAATGAAGATACTAAATTAAATTTCAAATAGACATATACGATAGCATAAAAAAGATATGAAATAAAATTTATGTAACACAGACTAATAATCAAAATACATTATTAGTTTGAAATAATCTTCAAACATGTTCTTTCTCATTTTCTTATCATATATTTTTGAAATAATGTAATTACAAATAAAACAAAGTTACATATTATAGTTGAGAAACTGTCCTCAAAATTTTATGATTTATAAACTCCTTGATTTTATTAATTGATAAATATCATATGCTTGTTGATTGTATCACTTACATTTTCTAACAAAACTTTCCACAGGAAAAAAAATATACTTATATTTTGACATCCAAAAGCAACTAAAAGAATTCACATTTTTAAGATCAGATTTTTCTGTTCCTATTTTATTATATCCCATACTTATTTTTATTATATTTTTTATAAGTTGGATGAATTTCAAAGGGAAAAAAATGTTCTGTATCTTGAGAAAATCATTAATATCTTCTGTTTGGAAAACCTTTGAAGAAACAAGCTAATATACAAGAGGCTATTTTAAAAAATGTAGCAGCTAGTTTTTGGAATAAGAAAAACCTTACTTTAGTAGAAACAGCCAAAAAAGAGAGACTATAAAAGCACAGGCTAAAATCCATGTCTCTTGTATCACTGAAGAGTTGTGAATTTGGATTCTCATTATTTGATCCCTTTGCTTCTGTTTCATCTTTGATTAAATGTAGCAATGGAAATACCTTTGTTATAGAGTTTTTGAGAGGATAAAATAACTATTTGTGCTTGGATTAGTGTCTCATACATAGTAAGAGACTACTAATTAGTAGCACATTATATTATAACGTGTTGTTGATTTCTTTGGTGTCTTAAATGCTCTGAAAGTCAACATCTCATTAGAGTGTTGTGTTTAAAGAAAGCATTAGTAGTATAGAGCTCAAAAATATTTAAAATGACCATTTATTATAAGCATATAATTGCAAAGATTTTCCTCATAGAAAATGGAGTTTTTACAGAATATGTAAGTATCTAAAGTGTTTAATATTTTATGTGTGTGTGTGTGTGTGTGTGTGTGTATGATTGGACACACATACATATTGATAAAGAAGTCATCCTCCTGTTAATAAATGATTTATTTTGTAAATAAAGTTGAGTGCATTTTTGAAATGAAGTTTGCTGTTGATTGCATTTAGTATATTATTTGTTATTACAGTTTATCAATTTAGCTTATCAAAGATACAAGAACACAGGTCCTATGTTAATCTCAGTGTTTCAACATGTTATAATTGAAACAACTGTTACAAGGAAACTCAGGTGAGCATTGATTCTATATAATTTTAGAAAAAAAGAGATTTTCTAAAGTCTGTAAAATCAAGAACACAATTTCCCAAAATAAATATCCAGCTCAATATTTTCTTATAGATAATCTTTGTTTCACCTCTATTGCTTATGCAATATTAGTAGATATTTGGCTGGTTATATCCAAATTACTTTAGAATCAGTATATCATACACTTTAAAATCCTAAATTCTGTCAAATTTGAGTTTAAAGTGAATTGTACACACAAATGTGATTTAGCTGTTAAGAAAATGATCTTGTCACTTCTAAATATATCAAATTTATCTGAATCTGTAAAGACTAAGTATAGTAAATTTTCATTCTGTTTTAAGTATTTAAACTATAGTTTATATAAAAGTTGAAAGCAAAAATTAAAATGGTAGAAGATTATTTAAATCATGCAAAATTTTGTTGTATTTCTTCTACAGTGTGAAATATGATATAATGATATCCTGTGATATAATTGTGCATGGAATTCTTCATAAATCTAGACTAGGGAACAAATAAGTTCGGTGCAAAATACAAGTTCATTAGATAATGTAACCCAATTAAAATATAATGACTCTCCAATTTAAGGGTTTAAATGAAATATCCTAAATGTAATGTATTCTATAGTAGACATGGTGCTTGAACTTGCAAAAGTTAACTGTGGCTTAGTGGCAGCCAATGAGGTTCACTATGGGAGGTTTCGAATGATAAAGAAGTGTCAGAGTGTGTACATGTTTAGCAGCCATGGCATGATCACAACCATAAAGTGTCCAACAAGCTCTTCTTCCCGGAAAGATGATGTATATGGACACATGGACATGTACAAAATACCGCATTGAGTTTAAAGACTTTACAACTTCTTCCTGGGA